GATGACACCCAGATATACTTCTCCATATCTCGGTCCTCAGCTCCGACTTCAGATGGCGTCTCTCCTCTTAATAATTGTCTTAAGGCAGTAATGGACTGGATAAGGAAAAACAGATTGAAACTGAATCCAGACAAAACGGAGGTACTTACAGTTGGAGTCCTGAAACCAGATATGGGAATACAACTTCCAGTCTTGGACGGAGTCACACTCTCCTCCAAGGACTGTGTTCGCAGTCTGGGGGTGCTCTTAGATCTGTCGCTCCAGATGTCAAATCAGGTAACTGCGACGGTTAGGAGCGCCTGCTATCAGCTTCAGCTGATATGCCAGCTGCGCCCTTTTCTGGAAACCAGGGATGTTGAAACTGTGGTACATGCGCTGGTAACCTCATGTCTTGACTTTTGTAATGCTCTCTACATGGGGTTACCCTTGTGCCTAACCTTTCCTGAATAGTTTTACAGGCCCCTAGACTCAGTCCATCTTCTCTCCCTTTTTGTGCGGCAGTTATTGTGGTTGTTTTTTATGATGTTTGTGATTTATTTTAGTTTGTTTTTAAATGGTCCTCTGTTGAATATCTTTTTAAGGGGTGGGAGGGTTCTAGGGTTTTGTATGTATTTGTCTTGGTTTTAACATTGTAAGCCACCCCGATTGCATTGCAGAGGGGTGGGATAAAAATAAATTTTATTATTGTTGTTGTTGTTGTTGTCCTCCATATGCTGTTGAACTGCAAGTCCTAGAAGACCTAGCCGAAATGGTTAGTGAAGAGATGCTGGGAATTGCAGTCCCAACAACAACCTATGGTAGGGTCCATGATTTCATGCCCACTAAAAGCTACAGGCTGTTGAAAGCCAAGAAGAAATTCACCACATTCTGCCTATTTTGCACTCACTCATAGTTTGTTGAACATACTTTTGAGTCTAAGATACTAGTAGCTCATGTGAAAATAAATACTGGGCCTTTGCAGACTGCTAGAAATAGTGCAAATTGAGTCCACTTTAAGGTTTAGGGTTAGGGAATCATGGGAACTGTATTTTATTGTGGCACCAGAGCTCTCTAACAGAGAAGGCTCAATGTCTCAGAAAAAACCCCCACAATTCCCATGATTCCCTAGCACTAACCCTAACTCTTAAAGTGGACTCAATTTGCACTATTTCTGGCAGTCTGCAAAGGCCTACTATCATCCAGTTACAAAATATTCTACTTTCTGTATTGAAGAGAAATAGTTTTTCAGATTTGTAATGAAAATTAATTACTGTGCTATTTTGTTCTGGAGTTCTGTGAGAGATTTATTTAGTAAAGCTGGGATTCTCTTGTAATCGTATGCCTTCACAGTTTATCAACCAGGTTTGGAACCGTGGCTGTTCCCAACATCCTTCTTTTTCAAGGAGCTAAGCCCATGGCAAGATTTAATCATACAGATCGGACCCTGGAAACACTGAAGACTTTCATTTTTAATCAGACAGGTAAGATAGTCATGTTAAATAATTATAGAATTTATAATCTGACACAGTTCATCTAGGTTTAGAATTCCCAGGAACCTTGATGTTGCTTTGTGTTAGGTTAGTACTGGGAGGTTCTTTTCAACTTTGATCAAGATGTAGGATTTGTGAAGAAAACAGAAAAATGTGACCCTGTGCACATTTTTCACTGGCCAGAAAAAAGTGCAGTGTGGATTGTTCATATTCAGCATTATAATGCCTTTGTTCCATGCTTCTCCTCTTCATTTACCATCATCCAAAGCAGACATGCAACCATCTATATTTGCTGAATATACTTTATCTTCATTGGATGTTATTCAATTTTTGTGTCTGAAGGCTTTTTCCTACCTTTGTAAACTTAAGAGGTCCCCAACTCCGCATGGTGTCTCCTTGCTTCTCATTACTTTTGTTTTGGCTACGGCGGCATCCACACTACAGGAACAATTCAGTTTGATACTAGTTTAATTACCCTGGCTCCATGCTATGGGTTCATGGGATTTGTAGTTTGTTGTGGCACCATAGCTCTCTGACAGAGAAGACTAAAGGCCTAAGCATACTGCCAGAAATAGTGCACATTAAATTGAGGCACTGCCCTGGCTCAGTGCTAGGGAATCATGGGAACTGTATTTTTTTCTAGGACATTGAGCCTTCTCTGTCAGAGAACTCTGGTGCCACAATAAATTACAGTTCCCATGATTCCCTAGCACTGAGACAGGGCAGTGCCTCAATTTAATGTGCACTATTTCTGGCAGTCTGCTTAGGCCCTAAATGTCTTACAGAACTACAATTGCAAAAATTCCACAGCACTGAGGCATGGCAGTGGTGTCAGACTGGATTATTTCTGCAGTGCAGATGCAGTCAAGCTCACAATTCACCATTTGAAGACAGGAACTAGAAGAATCCATAACTGAACTCCTAATGGACTAGCAAACAAAGAAGTATTTGTAAAAATAAGATATTCCTTAAATGGTAAGCTTTCTGATAGGCACAGTTCCTGAAACAAGTGGAAATAAAGCAGCTCACAAAGAACAGTAAAAATACATAGATCTGATCACATTTTGTGTGATAGTGATAGTTAACATCTGTTAATGTAGCACAGAAATACATAGTGAAATCTACAGCGCTCTAATAACATAATGGCAAATAGTAGTTAATGAAATTATTTAAACGTTAATTGGAATATGGAGATGCTTGCTGTGGTACAAATCATTTGTTTAATCTTGTATTAAGCTAATAAATGGATATTTTTCTTTCAGGGATAGAGCCCAAGACTGATGTGATAGTCACTGAAGAAGATCAAGCTGGTCCCTTGCCCAGCACACTGAGTAGAGGAGTAGACTGGCTCCTTTTATTTTCTTTACTGTTTCTTATTAGTTTCATCATGTATGCTACTGTCCGTACAGAGAGTATCCGGTGGTTAATACCTGGTCAGGATCAGGAGCATCAGGAATGACATGTAAACTGAGAACTCTTGTATTTTCAGAACAAGTTAAAGTACATAAAATTGTACAATGGATCAACTCTTTGCCTTCTTTTGAGCCAGAACTGTGTTCTTCATATATTCAAAATCACACAGCATCGCTTTGCTGATAATATTTATGGTACAGATATGAAAAGGTGCAGCAGAAAATAAAATCGTGATGAGCAAGTTTTCTATTATGTTATCCGTCTTTTCAAGTTTTTTACACACTCCAGACCTACCAACCTTTTTTTTTTAAAATGAATGATTATCTCTTGACCTCTCAGTGCATTAAGTAGATGACCATAACATAGAAGCTACAGGAAGGTTTGCACATTGGAAAATGAGTACAGGTACCTAAGAGTGTTGTATGGAAATACCAGATGTTAAATACATAGACACTTTCACAATTGTAGTACTTTAATGAGAATATTTCAATGAGAATGCTGCAAGTGTCAGAACTTTAAAAGAAAGTTTCATTTAAAAGAAAGCTTCATTCATTTCTGATATGCAAAATTTAAAATTTGTGGCTGAACTTGCAGTATAGGTTTTTGCTTCCTAAAAGCAAGAAGGCACACAAAAATAAACTGCTGTAGTTGGGAAAGATGTACACTGTTTTGTGCTTAGTAATGTTATAATTTAAGCATTGCTCTGAATCTATGTATATTTGAAGGTGTCTGTGCTTTTTACAGTTTTGTTTGTATCTTGTTGATGCTGCTTATGTTGTAACTAAAGTAATTTGAATAAACAAAAAAATTAAAAGTAGTTGTACTATGCTGTAGGCTGCAGCCACTTAGCTGTTTGATCAGTGACATGCCTTGACTCAGTGGAACAAAGTGAAAGCAATGTGAAGTTGAACAACAACAGAACAATCCAGTTTACATGGGAATCACTCCTCCCTACCCAGGGTCTCACAGAAGATATATACCCACTCTCTTCCATTCCAGTATTCTCTAAAGATGCCAGCCACAGATGCTGGCGAAACATCAGAAAGAAACTCTTCTAGAACATGGCCACATAGCCCGAAAAACCCACAAAAAAGTGAAGGCAATTCTTTGTCCACCCTGTGACACGCCTTGTACCTCCCTCTAGGAAAATCTGTTGAGCAACAGATATGTCTGCAAGAGAAAAGGAGAAGCCAGCCTTCCTTTCTGTGGGTTATGGCAGAGGTGAGGGCTTTCCATCACTCTGAGAGAAACCCTAGAAAAGTGGGGGTTTCATGTAACTGGTCATGCAAAGTATGCAGGGCCAATGGTCTCCAAGTAAGAGCCAAACAGAACCTGTGTCCACCAAAGTCAAGCACTAGGTGCATGCTTGGCTCCCCAAGTGGCTTGGTCCATAAGAGGCCTTGGGTGGTAGGATGTCATTTATCTATCACCTTATTTATATCTTGCCTTTCTCCCAGGCTGGGATGCAAGGCAGTTTACACTAATGAAACAGACAGGGATAATCTACACTGCAGAAATAATGCAGTTTGACAATGCTTTCACTGCCATGGCTCAATGCTATGGAATCCTGGGATTTGTAGTTTGTTGTGGCACTAGAGCTCTCTGACAGGGAAGGCTAAGTATCTCACAAAACTACAAATGTGCAGTTTTGTGAGCCTTATCTGCCAGCTCTGGTGCCACAACAAACTACAAACCCCAGGATTCCACAGAATGGAGCCATCCATGGCTGTTAAAGTGGTGTCAAACTGCATTATTTCTGCAGTGTGGGTGCAGCCATAGTTTTTTAAAAAAACCCACACCCAACAACATACAGAATTCAAGATTAAAACGGTATTAAATAACAACAGAGTTACTTAATTAAAATAAACTTATTAAAACCTTAGTTTAAAGCAGTCTGGAAGATCAGTATTCAAAGGGACCCTGTAGTGTCTTTTGAGGTGAACTCTGCAAAAGAAGTTGTAGCATAATTTCTTACAAACGTGTTGCATCTGAGGAAGTAGATTTAAAAGTCTACAAAAGATTGTGCCGCAACTCCTTTCACCACTGGCTGAATCCGCACTGCAGAAATACATTGCGCAGTTTGAGGCTGCTTCAACTGCCATGGCTCCATCCATAGGCGCCCTGGTGGCACAGTGGTTAAATGCCTGTACTGCGGCCACTCAATCACAAACTACAAGGTTGTGGGTTCAATCCCAGGCAGGGGCTCAGGCTCAACTCAGGCTTGCATCCTTCTGAGGTCACTAAGGACCTTTGCAGACTGCCAGAAATAGTGCACGTTAAATTGATGCACTGCCCTGGCTCAGTGCTAGGGAGTCATGGGAATTGTATTATTTTCTGGGACATTGAACCTTCTCTGTCAGAGAGCTCTGGTGCCACAATAAATTACAGTTCCCATGATTCCCTAGCACTGAGCCAGGGCAGAGCCTCAATTTAATGTGCACTATTTCTGGCAGTCTGCAAAGGCCCTAAAATGAGAACCCAACTTGTTGGGGGCAATGAGCTTCCAGCTGTAGACCGCTTAGAGACTGCATAGCAAGGTATGAAGCGGTCTATAAATGAAGCTGCTATTGCTATTGCTATTATCTTATGGAATCCTGAGATCTGGAGTTTGCTGTGGCCCCAGGGCTCTGTGATAGAGGAGGCGAAACAGCTGACAGAACTACAACCCCCATAATTCCATAGCATTCGATCCACGGCAGCTAAAGCGGCGTCAGAACGCATTGTTTCAGCCGTGCGGATGCTCCCTCCTTCCTCGTTGGGGTTTTGGGCTCCCTTCCAGCCGACAGGACAGGAGGGAGAGAGGAAGGGAGGCGCGGCCTAGCGCTTGTGAGGCGGAGAGGGAGCCATGCTGGGCCTAAGAGCAGCAGCAGGAGGAGGGCTGAAGTTGCTCCTGCGCCCAGGAGGCCTGAGGGAGCTCTCCGTCGCCATGGTGAGAGGAGGCCTGAGGGGAAGGAAGGAAGGAAGGAAGGGCTAGGCCGCAGGGGTAGGCAACCTTTCCCCTTTAAGGGCCGAGGGACTTCAGTTCCCAGAAGCCTCAGCCATGTTGGCCAATAGTCCCATGTTGGCCAATAGCTCCTGGGATTCTGGGAGCTGAAGTCCCTCGGCCCTTAAAGGGGAAAGGTTGCCTACCCCTGGGCTAGGGGCTTCTGTCTGCCCACAAAATGGGGGACAGGGCCAAAGCAAAAGCTACAAAGCCTCGCATAGACGGGCACTCGGGCTGCTTTGTCCTGCTCAAAGTGGAGGGGACATTTGGGAACCCCTCCTGGACAGAGAATAAAAGTGAAGAAAAAAAAAACACACCCATATAAAAGTAATTTCGTGCTTCATAGTCCCAGCTCAGGATGGAGGAATGTTTTGGGACCCCTCCTGGACAGAAAACGAAAGCTAAAAACCCTCATAGAAAGGTACTTACTGTACGTTCATGCGTCTCAGCCCTGCTCAAAATGGAAGACCTTTGGGAATTCCTCCTGGACGCGAGGCTTGGAATGTAGGACGTGTCCGGGGAAAGGAGGACCTCTGGTCACCCTGATGGGAGTCGCTTTTCGACTTATGGCCACCCCATCACCATCATAGGGGTTTCCTAGGCAAGGAATATTGAGAGTTGTGTCCCTGACTTATGGCAGCCTCAAGGCGAAGCTATCCTGGGGTTTTCTTGGCAAGATTTGCTCAGAGGAGGTTTGCCATTGCTTTCCCCTGAGGAGGCTGAGAGAGTGTGACTTGTCTAAGGTCACCCAGTGGGTTTACATGGCCAAGCAGGAATCGAACCCTGGTCTCCAGAGTTGTGGTACAACACTCAAATTACTACTATGCCATGGTGGCTCTCTCATATTCAGAGCAGCTTCTGTTACATTTTTAAAGGACCCACAGTCTCTTGCTATTTGTGGTGACTCTTAATTTGGCTTAACTGAGTCCTTTTGAGGGGATTCTGGGCATTCTGAAGCATTCTGGCAACCTCCCCCCCCCCCCGAATTATTTTTGATAATTTGGGACCCACATGCAATTTGCAGGCTGCACTTGTGGTTTGGAGGTACATAATATATGCTTCTGCATATATAAGAAGCAGAGAAATTCCACATTCTTAAACTAATTATTTTCAGTACAAATTCCTCTCTAACAGATCTATCTATCTATCTATGTATACATACACACACACACACTTACATGCTTCTGGCCACCTGCTGATTTATGGCAACCCTATGAATTTCATAGGGTTTTCTTAGGCAAGGAATACTCCGAGGTGGTTTTTTCAGTTCCTTCCTCTGAAATATAGCCCACAGCACTTAAAATTCATTGATGGCCTTAGCTTCCAAGATCAGATGGGATTTGGTGCCTTTAAGGTATATTAATAACCTAGGAAATGCAAGATTTCCAATAAACATGTGTTAGTCTGTCGCAGTATAGATGATGTCTTGTGATATCTTTGGGGTGACCGTCTGGTGCCAGAAGGTACTGGATTTTTTTATATCACCGCTAATATATATATCACCGCCTTTGTTATCCGCTGAGATTTGGTTCCAGAACCCCCCATGGATAACAAAATCCTTGGATGCTCAAGTACCATTCAATCTAATGACATAACAAAATGGTGTCCCTTATATAAAATGGAAAATCAAGGTTTGCTATTTGGAATTTATGCTTTTTCTGAATATTTTCAAGCTGTAGATGCTTGAATCCATGGATAAAAAATCCGTGGATAAGGAGAGTTGACTGTATATTCAAGTGATTCAATCTTGTTATTGGTGTATACCAGGGATAGGCAACCTTTTTGAACTGGGGGCCGGGTTGCTGTCCCTCAGACAGTTGGGGGGCCAAAGCACCATAAATAAATAAATAAATAAATATTTTTTTAAAAAAAATAAAAAATAAAAAATAAAAAAAAATGCATGCACACTCTCAGCCCCAGAAAAGCCATGGCAAAACCCCTGTGGAGATTTTGCCAAGAAAACCCCAAGAACAAGTAATAACAACAATAATCAATATCATCATGGCGAGGGGCAGTGGCGGTGGCAGGACCAGCCTGGGGCCGGTCCAAAGGCCTCGAGGGGCCGCATCCGGCCCCCGGGCCTTAGGTTGCCTACCCCTGGTGTATACAGTTTTAAGACTATACTGTACAATGGTTAGTCTTAAAGGGGCTACTGACCTTAGGCAAGTCACATAGTCCCAGCCCAGGGTGACCAGATGTCCTCCTTTTCCAGGACACATCCTACATTTCAACCTTCTGTCCAGGAGGAAATCCAGAATGTCCTCTATTTTGAGCATGACTAAGAAGCATCAATTTATATTTATTTATATCAGTGTTTTTAGCTCATTATATAATGGCCTACATTTTGCAGTTCCTATCCTCCATTGTGGTTAGGACATCTGGTCACCCTGTCTCAGCCTCAGGGGAAGGCAATAGCAAACCCCCTCTGAGAAACTTGCAAAAAAAACACCCCATGACCTTTGGGTTTTGATAAGTTGAAGCGACTTGAAGGCATGCAACACAGGCTTGTCAGTACTGCATAATCTTAAAGGGTGAAGTTGAGACATACTTAGAGTAACAGGAAATGGTATGATATAATGAAATAAGGGACAATGGGAAATTATTATTATTGCTGTTTGCATGACCAATGATGCTTAAGGTAAGAATTTCTACATTGATAAATCACCCTTCCTCAACAGAGCTCAGTGTTGTAGGTATCTTTTACCCATTTTATTCTTGCAACCATATGATGAAGGCTGAGAAGGCAATTCTCCTAAATTCAACTAGTAAAATGCATGGTTGAGCTGAATTTTTAATCCAAATGCCATTCCCCCCCATTCCAAGTTACCAACCACCTTCTGAATCTTAGCTTCAGTATTACTTTTAAAGACTACAGTGATAATTAGGACCTTATATCTAAAGCAGGGATGGGCAGCTGTGGAAAGCTAGGGGGCCACATTAGGTCCTTAGAAGACTTTGGAGGGCCACATCTGCCCCCCCCCCCGCCCAAATTATTATTATTTGTTTTGCCCCAAACACCATGTTTGGATTTCACCATGTTTTGGGCTTCAAAAAGACATCTCCTCAGCCTAAAGACTACATGTGAAAGGGATCTAGGAGCTCTAATAGACCACAAGTTGAACATGAGTCAACAGTGTGGTGTAGCAGCTCAAAAGGCCAATGCGATTCTAGGCTGCATCAATAGAAGTATAGCATCTATCAAGGGAAGTAATAGTGCCATTCTATTCTGCTTTGGTCAGGCCTTACCTGGAATACTGTGTCCAGTTTTGGGCACCACAATTTAAAAAACATGCTGGAAAGCTTGAGCGTGTCCAAAGGAGGGCAACCAAAATGGTGAAGGGTCTGGAAATCATGCCTTATGAGGAGAGACTTAGGAAGCTGGGTATGTTTAGCCTGGAGAAGAGAAGGCTAAGTGGTGGTATGAAAGACCTATTTAAGTATTTGAAGGGATGTCATATTGAGGATGGAACAAGCTTGTTTTCTGCTGCTCCAGAGAACAGGGACCGGAACAATGGATGCAAGCTCCAGGAAAAGAGATTCACCTCAACATTAGGAAGAACTTCCTGACAGTAAGAGCTGTTGGACAATGGAATAAGCTGCCTTGGAGAGTGGTGGAGTCTCCTTCTTTGACGGTTTTCCAGCAGAGGCTGGATGGCCATCAGCCGGGGGTGCTTTGATTGTGTGTTCCTGCATGGCAGAATGGGGTTGGACTGTATGGCCCTTGAGGACTCTTCCAGCTCTATGATTCTAGATTCTATGGTGGGGTCTGCAAAATGTGATGGAAATGCAACCCATGCCCCCTGGTGGACATTTTGGAGCATTTCAAGGCAAAACATTTTTGGGAAAAATGTGTAAACATTGTTGGTGATCCCTAGGAGGGCAAATAGCCACAAATGGCCATAAAGTGCATGGGGGAGGATTTTGGGCATTCTGAAGCATCTGTACTTTCTTCCCAAATTATTTTTGACGGGGGGGGGGGGGCTGGAGCTCACATGCAGCTTGCAGGCTGTACTTTGTCCATCCTTGATCTTGAGGTGCATAATATACACTTGTGCAGATATAAGAAGCAGAGGAATTCTTTACACCAATTCTTTTCAGAACAAACCCTCTCCAGCCGACATACATACATACATACATACATACATACATATATAATAACATGCCTGTGCACATGCCTGTGGTGTGCAAGCATGGATTACAGTGTGTTTGTGTGTGTGACTTC